TTTGCAAAACACACTGTACTGAAACGCATGGTGCAAAGATTCTCCATTTATTGCAGAAGCAGCTTGCTTTAACCCCTTGCAAACAAACTTAGAGCTCCCCTCAAAGTTGAGGAAGAACTGATCCCTCTGGTCCTCCGACATAGGGGTGCCAGCTCCAGCATTCACTCATCCAGAAGGGATTAATCCACAATGAAGAGAAAAAACTGACTCCCAGCCCAACTGGAGTGTATGTGCTCAGACAGTTATCCAGGCCAAGCCCTCTGAAGCATTTCGCCCCACCCAACGTGGCTTAATTTTATTACAGGTACTTATATAGCGCTGTCAATTTACACAGCACTTTACATATATATTGTACATTCACATCAGTTCCTAAACCTTATGGAGTGTACAATCTAAGGTCCATAACTCACATTCATACATACACATACTAGGGCCAATTTAGAGAAGAGCAAACTAACCTACAAACATGTCTTTGGAGTGTGGGAGGAAACCGGAGGAAACCCACACAGGCAAAGGGAGAGCATGCAAACTCCGTGCAGGTGGTACCGTCGTTGGGATTTGAACCAAAGACCCTAGTGCTGCCGAAGCAGCTGTAAGCTTGTTTTAACCCTTTGTTTACCATGCTGTTTATAAACGTACCTTGGTAAACAAAGGGTTACATTTTAGACCCTCAAGCTCCCTCTAAAGCAGTATTAAACATAAAACCAAAAATGTTACATATTGCAGTTTACCAATCCTTAGATGTCTTGGCTGCATTGGGCTCCTGTTTTTAGGGGTTTTTTTTTCCCCTTCAGTTTTCACCTGGTGATTTGGCCAGTAACACACCTCCTGTATTAGAGTGGCTCCACTCTGGATGAAGGAGCACAGGGGGAACAACAGATATTAACATTGTCAGTCTGGGGGAAGAGGAATGTAAAATGTACTAGCAGGTTTGAAGGATAGGTTTACCTTTTAGACAAAAATAATAAATGTACATTTTTTTTGCAGGTAAAAAAATGTGCATTTATTATTTTTGTCTACAGGAGCCTGGACACCAGTGATCAGTAGATCACTAATGCCATGCATGTCTCCTGCAGACCTGGCAGAGAGAGAGAGAGAGAGAGAGAGAGAGTGTGAGTGAGTGAGTGAGTGAGTGTGTGTGTGTCTAAAAATGTGAATACTATACAATAACTTAATTGATAAAGTAAAAAGCAAAAAAAAGCAAAAAGAACACTGTGAAAGGAATAAATAAGTCTCAGTGCAAAAGGACACTGTGAAAAGTCCTTAAGTACAATCATATGTCTTCAATCACTAGGATGATCATATATGTCCAAGTGCAGCACATATCACCCCACTCAGTGTAAAATATCCTTAGGTGCAGTCATATATCTTCAATTAATATGGTGATCAGATACATCCACGTGCAACACGTGTCATCCCACTCAGTGCTCAAGGGAGGCTTACCAGATATATTTGACCATGTTATAGAGTGGTCAAATAAGGACCAAATATGATCAAATGGCAACCGCTCCAACCTCCTCCAAACGTACATCATACGGCGTTCAACCACTCCATACAGATCATCAATGTCAAACATGTAACGGGCATGCACATAGAACAAAAAAATTAACTTTTAAGCTTTTGGGCATCGTAACAAATCTCATAACGAGTCCAAAAGAGCCTCCAACAACCAAGACGTAAGCCACAGTCCCGCGTCAAGGGTCCACTGTATACTGTGGAACTAACTCTACAAGTTTTAGGTCTAGCACTAAAATGATTGCTCTCACTAGAACATTTGTGGTAATACCTCACATGTGTGGTGTGAACCTTGTTTACATATGTGGGCATGACCTACATATGTGTTTGCCACTGAGCACGAGCAGGGGGGTTGGGGTGCTTTAACATTTTTTAAATTATCTTATTTATTTTACACTGTCCCTTTAATTTTTTTTTATAACTTTTATTGCTATCAGCCGCTTGGATTGCTTTAGGGAAAGAGAATCGCCAGATGAAAATGTAAATACCAGGGTTATGGCTGACAGCTGCAACCATAGCCCCCAATAAACCACTTGAAAGCTGCAACGTTTATGTACGTTAGCTGGTCTGATACACATTTTTTTCCAGAACTTGATCTCAACTGTGAAAGTTCAAATGAGGGGCCTGCTGAACTGAGGATTCATCCAATCAGATGCAGTCGCTGTTCAGATATTTTGAAAACTGCCAGGACCGGCTGTCAAAACACAATAGTCACAGTGGGAGATTTGTTCACTTGCATTCTATAGCATGGATGGAGGAATCTGAAAGGAAAAACAAAACAAAAAAAAAAACAAAAAAAAAAAAAAAAAAAAAAAAAAACTATAAGTGTATGACCAGTGGCAGCACAGTGGCTAAGTGGTTAGCCCTTCCGCCTGGCAGTACTAGGGTCATTGGTTCAAATCCCAACCATGACAACACCTGCCTGGAGTTTGCATGTTCTCCCTGTGCCTGCGTGGGTTTCCCCTGGGTACTCCGATTTCCTTCCACACTCCAAACAACATGCTGGTAGGTTAATTGGCTCCTGTCTAAATTGGCCCTAATATGTGAATGTGAGTTAGGGACCTTAGACTGTACACCCCTTGAGGGTTAGGGACTGATTTGAATGTATAATATATATGTAAAGTGCTGCGTAAATTGACAGCGCTATATAAGTACCTGAAATAAGTAATAATAAATAATAAAGTTCCATACAGAATACAGATCCTTCTGGCAGAACTTCACTCTATCAAAGTTGACTATTTTCAATCCTTATGCTTCTAGCATTAGTAAATAGTAGGAAAGTATATCATATTTACTAGTTTTAATTTTTTATACTTCCTAAACTGTGTATTTTTTTTTTACATTTCTTCGGTTACTTCCTGATTTCCAGGCCTAGTCCAAATTGATGTCATACATTCCAGGAGTCTTCAGGAGCGGTCTTCTACGCACACCCTCCTGCCTACCTGAGCTAAGAGCAGATGGATTCCAGGAAGTAAATGCTACATGAATCATCTGCCCTTACTCAAGTTGGCCACAGCCGGAAAAGCAAGGAGGGGTTCAAAGTGATTTCTCAGTAAAATAATGCATGGATGGATGTGTGAGTTTGCTTTGAATGTCACAAATGAATTAAATACTGTTTTTGCTCAGAAGCAGTGTAGTTCCACTTTAATGACAATAGTGGCAACAAGCGTCAATTCAATCTTGTAACTTGCCAGTAAAGATTTGCTTTAATCCTTCTCAGCAGTTCGCTATCCTAACGCTCTGTTCAGCCTCAGGGAGCAAAGAAAATACCTGTTAGTTGTGGGAATGGAGGAGCACACGACAACTCTGGTTAAATCACCAAGAACCTGCACTGTTACAGGAGGGGGCCCCGTAGTCCTGTCTAAGCTAGGTCTTGAGCAACCATAGTTTACTCTTCTGCTTACAGCAGTTCAACAGAGAAGAGGACAAGGGACCTCATTTACTGGGAAGTGGAAGGAGATAAAGGCGAATTAACCTTAACCTGTAGCTTTGCCCTGCATTGGAAAAGCTCTGGTTAATTTTAAGGTGTGATGTACATGATTTATTATCCACTGTAGACATAATGAGCATCTAATATATATATATCACCTTCTTAAATTACAGGTTCTGGCTGTTTTTAGTTGTTCGATATATTGATTAAATACACAAAGACTTGGTAATTACATCACATGCTGATTAACATCTATAAATTCCACATCTGCACGTTGCCCAGCACAACCTTGGCTGACTGAAATATAAAGGAACCGAGGAAATAAACAGCTTGCATTTTAACTACAACCCTTCCAAATATAGCAATCTATTAATTTAAGTAATTGAAAAAAGAGAATTTTGTGAAAACAGAAATGCAAGGCGGATACTCACTAATGCTGCTTAGTTTTGAGAGAGATTTGCTTTCTCACACTACATCATGTTACAAAGCAAGAAGAAAGAAGGACGGAAGGAAAACGCTGTGAATTACAACAGACATTAGGTTTTATTGGGGATTCCAACCAATTTTACATCTCCTCTACTTACCTATAGTAATGTTCAGCTTGTGGATCATTGAAGCAGATTAATAAGATCCCACAAATGGCATTTAGCTATCAACACCATAGCAGGTTCCCCACCTATCCCAGTACTTTTTAAAGGCCATCAATAGGCTTTGACTTCAATACTGCTTGACCACAACTTCACCACTAACCATTACATAAGTAACCATAAGATGGAGTTAAATTGCCACAGCAGATCTTCATTGGTAAAATTATAAACAACATATTAACATTCAGTCTGGTATGAAAATATGGAGTCCCAAGGTCCTTGTAGGCATCTACTTTCAGTATGTGCTTAAAACCGAAAAGTAGCCCTCCAGCTGTAAAAGCACATACTCTGAGACAAATACTCACAGATACCATCAACCAGAATAATGGGAGCCGTACCCAAGATGGGTCACTACAAATGTACATATTTCATCCATAATCAAACCCATACAAGAACCTTGTATCCCTCCAGCTGACATGACATAATCACACATAATCCCAAGTCAAAACCACAAACCAAAATTAACCCAAATACCAAAGAAAGAAGGGTGGGAAGTTGTCCCAACGCAAGGTCTCCTCTGACTGAGAAGGCCCAAAGACCCTCCTACAGACCAACTTCTGCAGCACCACCTTCTCCAGCCCTCCCACCAATTCAGTAAGTATACTTGAATACTATTTACTTTTAACCCACCAGAAGACACCTCCCCTGCCAAATCCCTTTTAACCCAGTCATGTTGGCCCTGAAATTATGCCTTCCCTTTTTCCTGCTCCGGGCCTAACTTTGTGCTGGGGTTTGTCACTCTCCATATGTTGTTTAAGTTGTGTTCGGCGAGCAGTTTATGTTTTTGCATTAGGTTTGGTTAATGGCAATTTAAGCTATTATTTAAAAATCCAATAATAAAAAGTATATCCAGAGTCGTTTTGCATTGCTATTTCTTAGTAATGAAGCTATTCGTTATGATATTGATGATGTTGTACTCTAAAAAAGCAGAGGAGAACACTACAAAACAAGTCCAGGTAAATGTGACTACTATTAGATATACCATGACATAGATAAATGAAAACCTTTGCAGACATGCAAGCAGAGGAAGCAAAACACTTAAAGTTTTACTAAACCCAGGACCCCGCATTCACTATATCCGGTCTCCCCGGACCCTGCATTCACTATATCCGGTCTCACCGGTCCCTGCATTCACTATATCCGGTCTCCCTAGACCCTGCATTCACTATATCCGTCTCTCCCCGGACCCTGCATTCACTATATCCGGTCTCCCCGGACCCTGCATTCACTATGTCTGGTCCCCCCGGACCCTGCATTCACTATATCTGGTCTCCTCGGACACTGCATTCACTATATCTGGTCTCCCACACTACATAGAACATGGAAATGCAATTATTTTAGTAAATATAAACTGCTAAATACCTTTTCTCATCAGCAGTTAGAGCAGTCTTGTGACTTCTATCAGTGTTCAGCCAAGCACTAGCTAAAGCTTGTAGGAGTTTTCTTGTTGCTCTAGGACAGGGGTGGGCAACCAGCTGTTGCAGGACTACAAGTTCTATCATGCCTCTGCAAGTCATAGCTGTCAGTTTTGTAATGTTGCAATGCTTCATGGGAAACATAGTTCCACCACAGCTGGAGAGCTGCAGTTTGCCCACCCCTGCTCTAGGAGGATGGAAATCCCCTGACCTCTATCTGGACAGTGCTGATTGGCCCTTTGCTGATCACATGCACTCTAGCAAGAAAAGAAAAAAAAAAAAAACCTCTCTAGCTATACACACCAAACTGAGCATCATGTGCCTACGGTTCAGTCTTTCTTATCAGGAGATAAAAGGTGGTCGCTTGAAAAAGGGGAGGAACAGAGAAGGAAGGATCAAATGGCCATTTTACACAATGTAGAGGATTAACCCCTTAGGTTCCTCAGTGAGTATAACAAGCATGCTTTACTGCATATACAGACTGATTTTACTGTTGTGGGTTTAGTAACACTTTAAAAGTGGAGTTCCACTCATTTTTAACACTTACATTGAAATGTGCTTCTTAAGGATTTAATCTTTCAATACTGATATAGTGAAAGTCATGAAGAAAATACTTTTTTTCAGCATTCTTCCCTGTGATTTATGGTCACGCCGCTTAGGTGACTACATCATCAGACCGGGCCAAAAATTCATGGGATTGATGACAGATATCCCAGGAGTCTTCGGGCATCCAATGCAGGTAGTAACACGAGATTTTCCTGGCCAGAGGTGACACACTTGCCTTCTGGGTTCTCATTTGATTGACAGGTTGCCATAACAATGGGGCAGGAACTTCTGCCAATGCTGCAATTGCTATTGCAACCTATAATCAACAAAGTGCGCCGAGCTGTGTCATTACAGCGCAGGCTCAAGATCTGGAGGTGCATGATGGGTAGCCAGCTGCATGGAATCCTGGAAATAGATGGCTTCAGATGCCCACATCATCGAAGGCTGCTGCCTGCCTGCGGGGATCCTGTAAGTCTTTACAGAGCTAAAAAGAAGGAATACAGTTATTACAGTATTAATTATACAGCAGGAGTATTCGGAATCTTGGGGGTGCTTTTGAAAAAAATAGCTTAGGAGGCTGGAGCTCCACTTTAAGTGGTATTAAACGCAAAGCCAAAGATGTAACATACTGCAGCTTACCAATCATTGGATGTGGTGGCTGCATTAGTTTTTTCTTTTAGGCTTTTTATTCCTCTTGGCTTCACCTGGTAATCTGGCCAGTAACACACCTCCTGTATTAGTGCCCCCACTCTCAATGAAGGAGCACAGCATTGGACAACAGCATTGTCAGTCTGAGGGGAGGGTAGTGATACAGTAGATATATTAGCAGATTTAAAAACAATAACAAATTGATGCCAAACTCCAGCTAATACTTCATAAGCAGTTACAGCAAGCAGTTGTTTTCTTTTTGGGATGAGGCCCCTTTCACACTGACGGTCCTATCGGGTCCGCCTATCAGTTTTTTCAGGTGGACCCGATCGGACCATCCATAGACCTCTATGGACCAGCGCATATCAGTGGCAAGTGTCCCCTGACACCCGCCAGCATCCAATCCAATCCTGTACGCCAAAAAAAGACGGGCGGGGGGGGCAGGTGGTCTGTTTCCATCCAGCCACCCCACAGAAGACAGTGGGCTGTGTTTGTGTCCACTCTGCAGCAGCGGAGCAGACACAGACCTGTCATCCGGCTGCTCAGAGGGGATCAGCGGAGAGATCCCCGCTGAGTAGGCTGATTCGCTGACAGGTCCACCCCATCTAAAAGAGACCTTAAGGTTTTACATAAATAAAAGCTGATCATTGTAAGCACCCCTGACAGTGATAAGTGGTTTGTCTCATCACTGTAACTGCTACATCTGCAAGAGAGCATGTTCTTTTGAAAAAAAACAGACTTACTGGCCAGATCAACAGATGAAAATAGAAGAAAGAAAGCCTAAAAAAGAAAACAAATGAGCCATCACATCTGAGAATCGGTAAGCTGCAATAGAATCAGTATTTGCTTTTCAGTTTTAGAGATATTCACCCTGAGGTCATCACAGAGGACAAGGGGGCACTCTTTACATCTGCAGGAAAAGAAATGTAATCTCCAAACACAGAAAGGTTTCTTCACAGTGAGAGCTGTGAAAATGTGGAATAGACTCCCTCAAGAGTTGGTTCTGGCCAGCTCAGTGGATTGCTTTAAAAAAGGCCTGGATTATTTCTTAGATACACAGAATATAACTGGATACTAACATTTATAGGTAAAGTTGATCCATGGAATATCCAATTGCCTCTCGGGGATCAGGAAGGAATTTTTTTCCCTGCAGGAGCAAATTGGATCATGCTTTCCTGAGTTTTTTTGCCTTCCTCTGGATCAACTGTGGGTATAGGATTGTAATTTATTTATTTTTTAATGGTTGAACTGGATGGACTTTTGTCTCTTTTCAGCCAGACTAACTATGTAACTATGAATGTTTAATACTGCTTTAAAGGTTTCATGTTTTACACTTTTCTGGCTAGACAGATACTGTAAAAAAGGACAACAAAATAATAAATTCTGTAAATATTTGTTATAATCTATTTTGTTCCTTTCTGCCAGTAAAAGGTTCTACACTCTAAAAATGTGGAATAACAAGCTGAATTGTATTTCTGGAACTAAATGAACACAGGAGTTCAATGCACAAGCCCTTGTGATAATAATGATCAGACAGTAGCCACTTCAAAAAGTTCAATTAATCAGTGTGGTTTAAAAAGAGTATCCTGCAAGGCGTGGGGAGGAGAATATCCTCCACCGCTTGAGGATATAGAATCAACTTGGTGTGAAGTACATAGCTAGAGGCAGACTTTCATAAAGAGAAATGCTTTACAAGAACTCCATTACATACGTCCTTCACTTTTATGAAGGAACACATAAAAGACACCTTGCACCATTTAACTATCCATAACCTGCCAAGGTCTGGGTTTTAGAAGATGAATTAGCTAATTAATAGTGGTATCTTGTGAAGTCCTCAAGAGACCCAAGAAAATCTTTCCCACTATTCACATGCTATTTCATTATCTGCCTGCAGGTTACATCTAAACAATATCAGTTTAAGTTCATGTTATGACAACCAGGGCTTTTTGTCAGCGAGAACTGAATATATGTAATGGCAAGGGGTGCTGGGGGTGAGCTGGAGGGTCTATTGATGCTGGGTGATGGGGGATCTATTGTTACTGGAGGGGTTCTATTGTTACTGGAGGGGATCTATTTTTGCATGGTGGTCTATTGTTGCTGGTGGGGGATCTATTGTTGTTGGAGGAAGAGCTTATGTTGGTAGGGGGTCAAATGTTGCTGGAAAGGATATGCTGTTGAGGGAGGGGTCTATTGTTGCTGGCTACTGGGCAGTCTATTGATGTTGGCTGCTGGGAGATCTGTTGTTGCTGCATGGGGGTCTATTGTTGCTGGGGGAATCTATTGTTGCTGCAGGGGTCTATTGCTGGTTGTGGGGGATTTTTTTACTGCTTTTCTTTGTTATTAGATAATTCGATACAAATTACTTAATACCACAAAATGATACTTGGCTCTGTATTCTCAAAAAGGGTCAGTACTGGGAAGTGGGTAGGGGTGGAGACAAGAAGTGCCTCAGAAGAGGGGAGTTCCTGAGAAAAAAAAAAGCCCTGATGATAACTAGTATACTTTTCTCCCAATCCCTACATAGAATGGCTGACAGTGGGACCAACATTATCCACTATAGAACAACATAGATTATACATGTACGTAGCTATGTACTGGCACAAAGCCTTTCTAAGAAAAGACTAACTGAATTACATTAACTGTTGTGGGACAGCAAGTCCCAGTATGTCCATGGATTATGCTCCTATTGACTTTTATTGTTCTCTGTAACTCCTGTTTACATACAGGGCCAATCGTCAGAGGTCCAGAGACACAATCTGCCGGAGGCTGTATCTTTGACATGGAGCGGAGCGTCAGTCTAGCCTAGGCTATGTTGGGGGTCACAGAGCAGAGTTTCAGGGCCATTCCCAGCACTCCAGAGACTCAGAGCTGGGTCATTAGTCTGTCCAGCAGTTCCAGAAGAGCCAAGCGGGTTTGCCAGAGTCATCACATCGGTACAGGAGGGATCCCCCATCCCCGGGACCTATAGCTGAAATGCAGGAGCTTGGTATGATGGTTATTATCCCATTCCTTGCACTGTGCAGCAGATACTGACTCTCTAGTTCACTTTTTCCTTACTTGACCGCTCCTTTGGGAGTCACCCAATCTACCCAGAACATTCTCAAGGGTTATTGCATTAACGCCCCAAGACTATATTCTTCAGGCGCAATCCTGCACCACTGATAATCCCATACCGCCCACCCTGAAATTGTTGTAACTCTGATTGACTTGAGTTCATTTTGAGTTAACCCCTTCAGTTCCTTCTGCTACACCTGTCTCACAGACTCTAAGCAGGAGAGGACCCTTGAGCACCACCAAATGTGCGCTACCATAAGGGCCTCAACCAAGCCGGCTATACTTTTTCTCATTCCCTAGAACTGTTTTTTTTCTCTTTTTACATATACAAATATATGTCCTCCTCCACAGACTTTACTATCTATGCTCTACCCCTGTAAAGGGAGGGGGAACTAATTACCAAATATGTTGTGAAGTCCTGCAGGCAGACTTGAATATAGCTGGGCAACTCGAGGGGGGATATGATGGTCATCTAGTCTACAGAGGCTTTGCTACTCCACTTCTTGCTGCCATCATCACACCCTTTACGTCCATGTTACAGTTTAAGCTGAACTAGGAGGTTAGTGAAATTCGGGTCTGGTCACTTCCTAGGATTTATGTTCTTATAGTCCATGTACATATGGTGTGTAAAAGGTCTCTACATAGTATTAGGGGGGTCATTGCATTCTTTGCTCTTTTACCGTGTTGCTTTATTC